GTCACAAAGGAGGGTAGAGGGATACTAACTTCTGCAGTGGAAGCTCAGGGCCCACATCCACGGATCACGTCTCTAAATCTGCAGCTCTGAGCAGCAGGGTTGATGATCACGAACACTCTCCTTGCTCATCAGGCTGGAGCAGCAGAAGTCCCAAGCGACCCAGTTTCACTTCATGTACCTGCTGCAAGAACCGTGCCAGGCTCCCCAAGGAGAAAAGCCAGGAATCCGTCTCGCTCTTGAGCCTCCCCTTAGCCACCCTGCAGGAAAGGGAAACCAAGACGTGTGTCCTGGAAGGGCTCASGCAAAGGTGAGGACAGAAGCGGGGCCCAGAGTCACACAAAAATGCAGTCTTTGCCCTTCGCAAAGCAAGTTTCCGAAGGCGGCCGTCACGGAGCTGCTGATGGGCTAAGGGCTCTCCTTGCCAGCACACRGTGAGACGGGCAGCAAGAATCCACCCCCATGTCGGTAACTCCTACTGCAGGAGGGCTCCCCCGGACCCCATGTGGTTTCCCAGCTCCAGCTCTGTTTTTCCAGCTCTGGTCTCCCAACTGGTGCCTGCCGGACTGCAGTGTGACTCGGGGTGAAGCTCTGCAAGCCATGGGCTCTGCGCAGCCGCGCTRCAGACACACAGTTACCTGCAACCTGTTGGAAGCAGCAGCATCTCTAGTGCCAGCGGAATAGCCTCGGATTCAGCTGACTTTAAGAACCACAATGCAGCTCCACATTGCACTTCAACTCACACATGCCCAAAGCTGACTCTGCAAGGATGCCCATGGGAATAAGCAGGACCATAATTCCGGCCGGAAATTCCGGCCAAGAGAGTTACTTATCACTGACACACAAATCAGCTGAGAATAAAAAGAGAAAAAGAAAAGAAAAAAGAAAAGAAGGTTGACATACTTGCATATTGAAATTAAGCAACTTTGGGGGGGAAAAAAAGCCATAAGGCTGTAATGTCAGTGATGCCTATTCAACCTTCATGTAACTTAAAAAAAAAAAAAAAAGAAAAAAGAAAAAAGGAAAAAGGAAAAAGGAAAAAGAAAAAAAGAAAAAGAAAAAA